GTGTGTGTATTTTACATGTTTGTAAAGAAAGAAAAAAAGAAAGAAAGAAAGAAAGAAAGAAAGAAAGAAAGAAAGAAAGAAAGAAAATAAAATAAGACCCTTTCTTATTTTCGGGGAAACACGGTATTTTAACTTAGTCTGAAGTCAACCCAGATAATAATGAGAGATGGTCGAGTATATGAATAAAACACTCCATGCAACTTAAAGCTTAAAGTATCCTTGTAATAACTTGATTTCTATTTGAGAACAAATAAGAAAGATTTTAAAATAACTAAAATAATATTAAAAATAATAACTAGAAAGATGACCACAGTGAAAAGGTGAAAGAGAATTATGATTTAAAAAAGGAGAGGGGAAGAAAAATAAAATCAATAACATAGGAAATTGCTACTGCTTCAATTTTTGAAGAAATGGAAAATACAGCTACCGGAAACTAACAGAAACATCTGCATATTTGAATCGGTAGTGGAAATATCTCACCTCCCTGAAATACTGTTTTACTCCTCTCTATTCTGCAGAAATAGCATGAAAAAAGTTCAAAGAAAATAAGCTTCTGGGGAGATGGAAGCAAGAGGGAATGGAGAAAGCAATTAAGAAAAAGCAAACAGAAAGAAACGGTGAATAATTTTCTTTCATGACTCTCATCGATCATAATGAAAAGAAGAAAAATGTCTCCAAAAATGCAAAGAACAAGGGAAAACATATGGAATGAAAAGGGAGAGCGGTTGCTTTATAAAATCGAGCCTTTAAAAAAAAGGATGAAAATGATAGTAAATCAGAAATTCAGTCACACTTGAATTCATTTAGTGTGACTTTTTATTTTTGTTGACAGGGAGAATGAAATATGCGTCTTGATATTAATCTATTTGCCAACAAAAAGTAATGACACTGAATAAAGAAATTACTATTATATAGTCAACAATGAAAAAGCCTTGCTTCAAAGGAAATGCTTCAAATATAATTTACTTATTTATAAATCTAGTTTCTAAAGCTGCCCATTTTGCAATGACTCTGGAAGCATGCATATTAAAAGCATATCCAATACATTAAAAGCAAAAAAAATAATGTCATAAGTCAAGGACTAATCCACTCAGCATGTTAATAAATGTTCGCAAAAGACAGATACTTCTTTAATGCAGCATCCGAGGAAAGAACTAAATCTTTGAGGCCTTTTTGGAAGAACAATTCAAACTTCTAGGGAGATGCTATGTTACAGGACAGTTCTATTATAGAGAAGAGGTGTAATTAAGGCCCCATCAAATGACACCATTTTAAATATAAGGCCCATAAGGTCTTACCAGTTAGAAATGATGGGAGAATAGTTGCCTTCAGATAACCAGACCCTATGCCATGAAGCGCTTTATAGATGACAACCAACACCGTAAATTGCCTCCTTAGGGATAACTGGTACTGTGCAAGTAGTAGAGATGTCACATGGGTGTACCAACATATGTTCCTAAGAGTCTGCACGATCGTACTGTGAGCGGCTGCAGCTTCCAAATGGTCTTAAAGGCAAGAGTGTTCTGCTTTAAGTCCACATGTAAGATGACTGTTGTGGCCCAGCAGGAGCCGTTGGAGCTGCCACCAGACTCCGACAGCGAGGGGCCCTATGAGTCGGCTNATGATGATGTTAATATAATAAATATTTTGAATTAAGATATTTGAATTAATATGAATTATATTTGATGACGGTGGAAGAGATGCATAAAAGCCTTTTGTAACCAGCTGATACACTTTCTACAGTATGTAAAGAAGGAGTTGTATGTTTGTTTTGAAAATAAATAAAAAAAATTTACAAAAAGAAAAAAGAAAAAGAGAGAAAGGGGCGGGGGGAGAAAAGTAAGACGCTGATCAAACATGGCAACCTGACAATATAACATGTGAAGGGATTAGAATGACTTGCTTTGGAGGAAAAGAAACAGGCCTATTACACAGCTCTACTGATCAGAAAATCAAAGGTTTTCTACAGCCCACAAAAGTGCTCCGTTGAAGAATGTGATTTATGGCACATCCTGGGAGGATGGGGCAAACGGGGTCATAGTTAAGCCATAAATTTCAACTTCACTCAGGGTACCTGCCGACATGTTGCTCCTAATAAATAACTAGGTTTCTTTTGAAACTTGGCTCAAAGCTCATGGGTTAATTAGGGCATCTGTTGGAACCCTGATGCTAAGCATCACACGGGCTGGATACGGCCCGCGGGACTTGAGTCAGACACTCCCCGCTCTTAAGCGGTTCAGAGTCAGCGTATTGCTGAGTCCTCATTTTACCAACCTTGAAAGGATGGGAGACTGTCAACCTTGAGCCAGTCAGGATCGAATTCCTGGCAGTGGGCAGAACTAGCCTGCAGTACCGCATTCTAACCACTGCGCCATCAGGGTGCTTTCCAAGAATTGGAAAAAACGGAAATGAACATGCTCAATCGTGTTTCGGAGCCATGCAGTCCTTCCTCATTTGATTAGGGCACAAATGTGAAGATAGGAGAGAGCTCAACCAACTTGGCTCTTCTGCTCACCTTCATTGTGCTGAGCTCTTCGCCTCTCATCTCGTGGCGTCCGCGGCCCGTCCATTTTCCTAGAATTTGAAGGAAGTGAGATGGACGAGTCAGAAGCACAGCAGCTTTCAGAGACCCCGTTCCCATCCCGGAACCGACAGAACATGTTCTATCAATTTTGAAAGACAGAGTTAAAGAGGCCAAATGCCAGCCAACTCCTTCGAGACGGATAGGCGTAGCTAAGAATCGAGAAATCCGCGGAAGCTAACCTCCTCGTGGATGTTCAGAATTGGAAGGAAAAGGAACACCCATCCAGTGCTGATGGCTAAGACAGAGAGTCTGTTTTTCTAAAACCCAACAGAAATTCAACAATTGGGCTACAGCCTTTCTCTGCGTGGTCTCCATAAGGTTGCAAAGCGCAACAGTTTTAGAAAACGAATCCAAATACAGTTGGAAAAGGCCTTGGAGATCTTCTACTCCAGCCCCCCCGCCCCCCACTCAAGCAGGAGATCCTATACTATTTCAGACAAGTCCAGTCTCTTCTTAAAAGCCCTTCGTGATCCACAACTTCAGAAGGAAAGCTATTCCACTGGTTAATTGTCCTCACTGTTAGGAAGTTTCTCCTCAATCCCAGGTTGTTTCTCTCCTTCATTAGTTTCCAACCATTGTTTTTTATCCTGCCTTCTGGTGCTTTGGAAAATAAATTACCCCCCCCCCATCCTCCTCTTTGTGGCAGCTTCTCAAACACTGGAATCCTGCTCTCATGTCCCCTCTATTCCTTCTTTTCTCTAGACTAGCCAAACCCAAATCCTGCAACCATTGTTTATATATTTTAGTCTCCAAGTCTTTAGTCATCTTTAGCTGCTCTTCTTTGCAATATTTCTGAAGTCTCAACATCTTTCTTTTTTTGGTAACGTGGCCACCAAAACTGAATGCAGTAGTCCAGGTGTGGCCTTACTAAGGCTTTATAAAACGGTACTAATAACTTCCCTTGATTTTGATTCTATGTCTCTGTTTATACAGTCAGGGGTTCGCTTTTTTGGAAGGTGACAGCTCACATGTTGCCGACGTAAAATGATTTACGTCTTTTTTACTTCCTCAAATATGTTTTAAAAAGAGCGTAACAAAAAACAAACAAACAAGGAATTAGAAGAAGAACAAATATCCACATTCTTTTTGGGAAGAACACAGGTATAGTTGAGCGACAACTGTGAACTACGTGTTCCCCCCCCCCCCTTCAAATTTTAGGCATGCTTTCAAGACTGAAGTCAGCCTTTTGAAGCGGGCCAGGTTGTTGCGGTCTGCTGATGGACTGCGGAGCTGTTGGTTAAGAGAGGAACAAGGGCCAGGCCTGGACTCTGGGGAAGGCTCAGATGAGGGCTCTGTGTCGGAGAGGGGGCCACGGCCATCTGGGAGTTATGTGCTGTCCCTGGAGCCTCCAGAGTCTGACATCAGCGAGGCAGAGGAACAGGGAGAGCCTGTTCCCAGTGTGCGCTTGTGTAAAGCTGCCAAAAGGCAAGGACAGTTAAGACAAAAGGGACGACTTGGGAGTAAGGCTTGGAGGTGATTGACCCCTCCCATGGGACATAAAGGAGGAGCAAAGGCATGTGAGCCTTTGCAGGAAGCAACTTCGTTCGTTCTGGTCGGTTGAAATCCCGAAGCTTCTTTTTGACTCGTTGCTCCGTGTGGCCTTGCAAGCTGATTGCCAATTAGGCCTTTTTGCAGCGTTTCAAGGGAGATAAAGGTGGGTGCTTATCAGCCTTATCCCGAAAGACTTTGGCAGACTCCTGTCAGACTCTTTACAAACAATTTGTGACTCACTACGGGCTGTGAATTAACATAATTCACAGCCATTGAAATAAAAAGAGGGTTTGGGGGACTGAGCGTGTCCTTTTCACTGTATCAGGAACCCCTAGGTCAGAAGACAGGTCAAGAATTCCAGGAGTCCTATTTATTGCGATAAGGTAGGATAACAGTCTCAAGCAGATGTTTTATAGTTAGTCATCTGTGGTGGCCCAGCAGGAGCCGTTGGAGCTGCCACCAGACTCCGACAGCGAGGGGCCCTATGAGTCGGCTTTGGAGGATGTGGAGGACCCTGGACAGGGTTCCGACTCCGAGCAGGGTGCAGAGAGGCTGGTTGGCCACCAGGAGGCGCCTGAGCCTTGGACCAGTGGGGAGGAAACAAGGGAGTGTGATCCGGAGGTCAGCAGTGGGGAGGAGCCAAGGGAGTTGTTCCTAGATGCCTGGCACCGGAGAGCTAATAGGTGTCAGGAACAATTATGCAATTACAGGAGGTAATTGCACTCAGCTGGTGGTAATTAGGCTCCTCTCCAGACTATAATAGCAATAGCAATAGCAATAGCAGTAGACTTATATACCGCTTCATAGGCCTTTCAGGCCTCTCTAAGCGGTTTACAGATAGTCAGCATATTGCCCCCAACAATCTGGGTCCTCATTTTACCCACCTCGGAAGGATGGAAGGCTGAGTCAACCCTGAGCCGGTGAGATTTGAACCGCTGACCTGCTGATCTAGCAGTAGCCTGCAGTGCTGCATTTAACCACTGCGCCACCTTGTGCACACACCCCTTTTGCAGAAGTCAACGCATTAACTAATGTTGGAGAACAATATTTTGAGCTTGGCAGGCTGGATTGCTGCCAAGGTTTATCTGTGCTGGATTGCTGGCACGGCTTGTCTGTGCCGGTTTGCTGCCAAGGACCTGTCTGTCTATTAATAAATTCTGTAAAGTATCTTTGGCTTGGAGTGCTTTGGTGTGGAACGAGGGGGGTCAGAACAGTCATCCATGTTACAAGAATCTTGCTAGGCTGACTGCATTCCCTTGCGAACGGTCACATAAGGCTTCAGGGATTCTGGGGAGATCAGGCCTGTGCTGCTTTCTGAAGTGCAGAGACTCTAATCTAGCTCCTTTCTTCACTCTCCCTACCAGCCTCGCTGGAGATTCCACCGCACATTGTCCCCCAATATTGGTCTCAGCCATTCTTCCATAGCTACATCCCTTTTATATTCTGGCACACCAATTCACCTGCTTTCTCTTCCTCCCTGACTCCAGAATTACCTGGCTCGTGGTCCCACCTGTCCTACCCACTTCCAGCTCGCCTCCCTCCCTTTTTTCCGTCCCAACCGCAATGTGGAACATCCAGAACTTCCTCCGACGGAAAAGACCCTGATTGAAACGTCCAGGTTTGAGTCCAAAGCGGTACGTACGGGGAATAGGGGTGGGTGCGGGGAGCTAAGGTACGTTGCGTCCCGGTCTGCAACACGTCTTGGGGCGTCATCATCACGTAGAACTGACCTGAGGAGCAACGTGAAGAAGGTGTTACGCCACCAGATAAAGGACTAACAACTGAAAAAAAAGCACTGCCAAATGCTTGCATGAAAAGACTTTTTCATGCTTTTGTCCATCTGCCCCCCTACTTTCCATCCCACCCCCGTTCCCTATTTTCCTCCTTCTCACAATAAATCTGAAGTTTGGCTGCTGAGCATGGTCTGTCCTCCCTTGGTTATTCCTTTAGTCTCTTCTACTCTCCCTTTGACCCGACAAATGCGCGCACGACAAAACCACGCCGACAAAACCGCAGCAAGAAAACCGTGACGTCAACAGCGCGCCCACAAAGGCGTGCCAACAAAACCGCACCCACAAAAGCGCGATTAGGGTTAAGGTAAGGGTTAGGGTTAGGTTTAGGGTTCTTACGCTGTTTTTCGTTGTTTGTTGATGATGTGCTTTTGTCGGCGCGCTGTTGTCGGCGCGATTTCGACATCGCGGTTTTCTCACTTGTCGGTGAACCCTACTCTCCCCCCACCCAAAAAAATTAAAATCAGTTTCAAGGAATGGATACACTTATACCCAGTGGCAATTCTAAACATATAGCAATAGCACTTGGACTTGTATACCGCTTCACAGTGCTTTTGCAGCCCTCTCTAAGCGGTTTACAGAGTCAGCCTCTTGCCCCCCAACAATCTGGGTTCTCATTTTACCCACCTCGGAAGGATGGAAGGCTGAGTCAACTTAGAGCCTGGTGAGATTTGAACTGCCAAATTGCAGGCAGCCGGCAGAAGTACTCTGCAGTGCTGCCTTCTAACTACTGCAGCTCATATCATCTCTCTTTATAGATTTCCACAGGTTGTTTTTATATGTATTTGACAAAAAACAGGCCCGTTTTCACGAAAAATGGGCAGTTATTTGTACATTTTTGCCCCCTCAACCCCCACCCCACCCCGGAGCACTCTACAAGCCTCCTAAGGGCTATTCATGCCTTTTTGACAAACAAAAATAGGCAAGTTTTTGTGAAAAACGGGTCGTTCTTGGGAGGTTTGCAGAATGCAAAACCTTTTTTTAAAAAAAATTTGCCTCTTCAAAACTTGGAAAAATATGGTAACTATGGGCACCTAGCTAGTTAGGTAGTAGCATTGGGCTAGCCTGGGCTTTATGGTCAATGATTGGGGATTGTTGTGGGTGGTAGTTCAAGAGACGTGGAGCCATCAAAGCCATCTCCAACAGCTTTCCGGTGTCCCCGATTCCCTACCTCCAGCTTGTGTCAGCGACTGATCGGTCGTCTGTACGGAAACTGCCGTGGCATCCCCCACTGTGGAGGCAGGGAAGTATGCAAACCGGGCTTCGCCGCTGACAGCATCCGTGGCTGGACTCCCACCATTACTGAAAGGGTTCTGAATCACCGCCTGGAAACAGAAGGAGACGCATTCGTGAGTCTGTGACAGCAAACCACCCAAAGCGAGATAAATAATGGATACCCAAAAGAGGATTGAATAATGGATAAAGAGCAAGGGGAGACTTGAGCCCGCTTCTGCGCTGGAAGACTGGCGCGGAAAAAAAAAACACCTGGCTTTTTATTCGTAACTGGCTAAGGGTGATGCGAGTGGCAGGCCGGCCCACGGCTGAGGCTGAACATCAGGAGGAGTCAATTAAATCAAAGACTTCGCGCAGGCTAGGAAATCAACACACGGTCCAGGAACGGATTTACAGAATCAGAGGAAAGAAGATAGTGAAGCGTATAGACCTGCTGATGAACTGAAGGTGGGCACTGCCCCCTTGTGTTTAAGAGTAGGTAACAGATTGAAAAGAGCCAGTTTGGTGGGATGATTAAAATAGCAGTTCTAGGCTGCATCAACAGAGGGATAGAATCAAGATCACGTGAAGGGTTAACACCACTTTTTAAGGCCTTGGTAAAGCCACACTTGGAATGCTGCATTCAGTTTTGGTCTCCACGATGTAGAAAAGATGTTGAGACTCTAGAAAGAGTGCAGAGAAGAGCAACAATGATGATTAGGGGACTGGAGGCTAAAACATATGAAGACCGGTTGCAGGAACTGGGTATGTCTAGTTTAATAGAAAGAAGGACTAGGGGAGACANGTTCATTCCTGCATTCTTGCCAAGTATTGCGGCGTCTGAAAGATATCAGCCTGGCAGCTCTCCAAGCCTGATAAAGGTTGGTAATTGTGAACTATCTTGAAAGTCTGTGGGAGAGGAAAGACTTTGCTGGAGAGGAATTCACTGTAAATTAAATAAAAGGGGTTTATCAGGACGAGGACTTGGCTTCATGCTGATGGGGAAGCCTAGGTCAGAACAGAAAGGTCACAAAATGGGGCGAAGCTGTAAACGAATGTCTCCCTTAACGACAGAAACTGTGGCCTCCGTCGTGGCCGTGTAGGTCGAGGACTGCCTGTACTTGGCTTTGTGGCTGGCCACCATCTCAAACCTAAAGCGAGAGAGGGCTGAGAATTTGGGCTGAGCTACCTGTTGCCGTAGGAGGTCATTGTCCATCTGAAGCCTCTCGGCTTCCTTGAACGTCTCCTGCATACGCTGATTCGTCTGGCGCAGCTCCCGGATGTAGTCGCAGGCTTTGGAGAGGATGCCCCCTTTGCTCTGGAAGAGAAAGAAACAAAAGGAACAGCTCCACCACTGAGCTTCCTGTTCTGCCCCATCTTGGATGCTGGGAAGGATCTTCCAGAATCATCAGGCTTCTCTCAGGTCCTTCCTCCTTTAAAGGTTTCCCTCGCACATATGTGCTAGTCATTCCCGACTCTAGGGGGCAGCACACCTCTCCATTTCAAAGCCGAAGAGCCAGCACTGTCCGAAGACATTCTCTGTCGTCATGTGGATGGAAGGCTGAGTCCACCTTGAGCCTGGTGAGATTCGAACTGCCAGATTGCAGGCAGTCAGCAAAAGTAGCCTGCAGTACTGCATTCTAACCACTGCGCCACCGAGGCACAATAATCTATTAATAATATTAATAGTCTATCATCTGTTAATAATATTAATAGATATTTAAGTGGGATAAGTGCAAACCTGCCTTCTCTCATGTAAGCATACACATACAGGTAAAAGGTAAAAGTTCCCCTGCACATGCGTGCTAGTCGTTCCTGACTCTAGTGGGCAGTGTTCGATCATCTCCGTTTCAAAGCCAAAGATTCAGCGCCGTCCAAAGACATCTCCGTGGTCATTTGGCTGGCATGACTAAACGCTGACGGTGCACGGAACACTGTTACCTTCCCACCAAAGGAGGTTCCTGTTTTTCTACTTGCATTTTTACGTGCTTTCGAACTGCTAGGTTAGCAGAAGCTTGGACAAGTCACGGGAGCTCACTCTGTTACGCGGCGCTAGGGGTTCGAACCGCCGAACTGCCGACCTTTCTGATCAACAAGCTCAGCATCTTAGCCACTGAGCCACCATGTTCCTTCATTCCTTTTCCTTTACATGCCTTCAAAGCTTTAGTTGGCTCTGTTTTTAGGATGGGACTTCTTTATTTATTTGTGGCTGGCTAAAATATGCGTTCATCTCAATGTATAGAGTTTGCCACCATAGTCAAAAAGTAAGCATTGAGTGCGATTCTCTATCTGTTTTGAGTCAACCCCTCGGTGCCTGGCGACGTCTTTGCGTCTTTCTTGAAAACAACAAAGACATCGTTCATCGCAGACTTCCCCCGCCCGCCAAGATGGTTGAAATTGTTTCCACCACCCCCTGACTTCCTAGAACTTTATTTACGAACCTGGTAGTTTCCCATTTGAGGTCCAAGCTGCTTAATTTCTTGAGTTTAGGCCAAATTGTCCAACTAATGGCAGCTTCAGGATTTCTCAAGTGGAAAGAGAGGTTTTCTGTGAGGTTCTCCTCAGCTAAGGAGAAATCACTAGGAACTAAGTGTCTGCCAATCTATGGAACTCTTCCAAGAAGGAATTCTCAATTATGACTAGGCAGATGATGCAAATGCAGGGGAAAAAAACAGCTCATTTGCATTATTCCTCCTTCTCCTGTTTTGGATGAAATTATCTATCCTCCATCAGATTCTCAACAGGGTTGGAAGGGACCTTGTACAAACACAAACACACAAACACACCCGCCCAAGCAGGAGACCCTAAACCAGCGATAGCTAACCTTCTTCATCACTGTGTGCTGGAAATGGAATGCAAAACCATCCCGCCAGGAATGCGCGGCCCTGCTGGCCTTCGCACGCACTAGAGCGCCAAAACCTGGAAGAGCAACGTTCCATCGCGCATGCGCGCGCCAGCTCCCGAATTTCCGGTTTCCTGTGCGGCGACGCTCGCGACAAACAGCGGACTGTCGCCCATGGGTGCAACGGAAACCCGGAAGTTCGGGTGACGACACGCGCATGAACGGTGGAATGCTGTTCTTCCGGGTTTTGGCAAAGCAAAACATTGTTCCTTCTGCGGTACCCCTCTCCCCACCAGTAAGCGCCCTCACCGCCCCTGTCTTGGTGTTGTCTGTATTGCAGTCTGGAATGATTTTTGACAGCTGTACGATCCAATTGTTGATCTTGTCCCGCCTCCTCCGTTCAACTTTAAGAAAAAGAGAGAAAGATACAGGTTGATAGATGGAAGAGTATAATTCAAAATTAGCTAAACTTAGTTAAATCCAGTGGTAATAGGTATAGTTAAATAAAAATTGATAATGATAGTAATGTATACAATGTTGAGTTGTTATGGTAAGTAATAATTGGATATGAGAAGGGAAGGTTACANGTTGGCTCAAATGAGATAACCTCGCTTTGATCTGGAAGTCAATGACAGTTTTAAGACAGACTGTATATTTTATACAAATTAGCATATGTACGTCTTCTTGTCCTTCTGTGAATTTTCTGGTAATTAAATAATTTTGCGCCGAACATTTTAGCAATCCAGAGGAGGGGATCTGTTTCAAAAAGGTTTGCAGAACTCCAGTGGATTACTAGTAGGCTAAATTGTAATACTCTCACATTAATGACATTCAAATAGGAACCGGATGGACAGTGCATCAGCTGGTAAGCAATGTCTCCTCCTGACTCAAAAGCTTCACAGCCTTAGATTTTGGATAATAATTCGCTTTCCTTCTCTTAAAAAAAAGAGAGAGAGAGAAATGTATACCTAGATAAAGAGCAGACATTTTGCATCTTATGCTGAAGCTGGAAGCTCCAGGGAAAGGGAGTGGGGAAGTAAGATGAAGCAGTAATGAAATGGCAAAGGGAAGAACAAAGGCTCTTAAAGAAGGTACTGGAAGACTTTTATTTTTGTTTGCTTTGGTGGCTATTTTGCTAGAAACAGTGACTTCCTAAAACAGGAAATCATCAGTAACCCTGGAATTTTATGTGCATTGTGAAGTTACAGCAATCCACCCTGTCGTGGCTGACAATTGGCATTATGAATGTACAGTCCTGGAAAATAATAACTAAGGATAGAAGGATAAAGAGTTGAAGGAAAGAAAAATGTGTTCTGATGGAGTTTAATATTTAGGGTGTCTGTTGTATTCAAGCGGAATAAAGTAGACAATCTTAAAAGCCCTGGGAGTCTTTTGATTGGGCAAGTTCCATGGAGGCTGATGACAGGCAGGACTCGCTACTTTAGAGGGTGACACAAGCATTAAGGAACCTCTTTATTTCCTGATTGTGCAGCAGATGACATAAGGTATTTAAGGAATAAATTGTAGTCTATTGAAAAATTGCATGTGATCTATTAAGCCTGAAAATATTTGGTCTGGTGTTTTAATGTACTGTGCTTCTCCATTCTGACAGGGCATTGAATAGCTTGCATGAAGGAGCCCAGGGTGCTGTGATACCATCTTTGTGTTAGTGTTTAATAATACCAATATACAATAGCTCTGTATTTAAGTGTGGATGTCTGTCTTACAAACCACCAGTCTCTTTTACATGATGGGGGGAAATAGATGGCTGTTCTGCACTGAGGCTTTTTCTAAGGGTCATCTCCAATCCATGGGGTGGGAGCTGATGCTGACCTATATAGATAGATAGATAGATAATTTTGGAGGCTTTTGCAAAATTGTGAGTAACAGTGCTTTGTCTTGTGACAATTTCCTTCATACAGCTTAGGTTTGGAAGCAGTATTGCACCATACATGCTTCGGGTTGTTTGCATGTTGCCTTTATTTGATCTTTCTTGCTGCAAAGGTTTTTTTCTCCCCCTTTCATTCAAACATGCTGGAAATTCTTTCCTATCACAGTAAACTGAACAGATACTGCTTATGTTTCTTTGGCTGTTTCTATTTAAATTGTACAAACATTGTAGAGAAGAAATTTAGGGGAGGATGGTTTTTTTTTTACAGCCATGTAGGCCATTCTTTTAAGCAGAAAATGCAGATTAATGTCTAAGGACTGGCCTTTTGCCTTCTCCCAGTAGCTGATTCTGAGCAAGGCACAATAATTTAATGGCAGCGTGGGGAGAATCTGGCCTGCAGGCCCAATTTAGGCAGGTTTTATGTCTTTTTCTGAAATGAAATAGTTTTGCTTCCTTTTCACTAAATACATTCATCAAAGGTAGAAGATTGGCACGTATGTTTCTTTGTCTTAGCAGGTTTGAATGTATTCATCAAAATTATACGGCCTACATCTTTATATATTTCAGGATTTTTTGGGGTGGGGGTGGGGAGGTAGTTACCAGGACTTGCCTTCTTATAGAAAACATTATCTATGGCATTTGCTCTGTTTTGCTTTAGCAGAGAAAATAAACCAAAAGGAAACCACAACAGAATATTTCTAGGTTTGTCTTGTGTTCTTAACTAAAGATCTAAATCATTTCAAAGCACTCAAGGTGATATGAAGTACGCTTACGGCATTGCAGGCCATTCCAGAACATTCCCTGCATTTCAAGGTGTGGCTGACTAAGCTAGAAAAGAGAGATCTATTAGGACTCTGTGCCAAACCATGTTTGGCAAATAGGCAAAATGCTGAACTAGGAGACAACATCTAACTGACACCGACTGATCTAGAAATCTAAGCAGCTCAGCCTTAACTAGTACTTGGAAGGGGAACCAATAGGACTGTACCCTAGTTAGACTGGAAAGTCGAGAAAACATCGTAAAAGAAAGCAATGGAAAAATCACTTGTGGTATTCTGCCAAGATGACTCTCTGTATATTTTTAAAGGCATATATATATATATATATTTCTGTTCAGGACTTTGAACAGCTGATCCAAGAATGCCTGCCTATATGATATAAGAGGCCATAACTTGATTGTCAAAACATTTGTTCTTCTCTTATCATAGATTACTGTTTCCATAGGAGAAAAAAAATCCCAAATACACATTAAAGCAATATAAGTAGGTCAAGTGGAAGCGTTAAACAGGGACAAAATCCAAAGCAGTACCATAGAACTATACGATTTTGTAGATACAAATCATTTATTTATGATTTTGTTTCCTTTCCCTGCCCACTTTGTATTCATTTATTTAGCTACCAGATTCTCAGAGCTACTTATTATTCCTTAATTTTAGTGTTTCACTTAGGCCGTAAGTAAAGACTGAGGTGATTTGGTATTCAACAGTAGTTTATTCAGTAACAACACCAACTCAACAACACAGTAACGCTTGGGTTGACAGCTATTTATATGGTAGCTGTAAACCCGACAACCAATTAGAACCTTGCCATTCTCCCACCGGAACACCTCCATGTGGGAACCAATAACAATCACCTGCCGGCTTGATAGACAGAGGCTGGTCGTAACTCGAGTACACAACACCTCTTTCCCCCGAATTCGCGCAAGCGTAGTCGGAGAGATAGGTGAGTCGGCGCCTGATCCTTCCTGAACGTCACAATTCTTGCGCCGGCACTGTCGGACAAGGAAGAAGTGTGGGTTTCCATTCTGTAGTGGTAGGTCGGTCATCGGATGGTTCTGGAGACTCCGCCCCAGACTGCTGCCATAGCTCCACAGGTAGGTCAGCCGGCGAGAGCGTGTCGGGCGGTGCTTGGGGAAGGATGGGTGCCACAGGATGGTTTGGCCGGCAGGCGGCAGTGGTTCTTTTGTTGTCAGGCTGGTTCTCCCCATTAACCCGGTCTTCGGATGTGTCGCGGCGGCACAGATGATCAATGTGGCGCCGCCACATACGGCCATCATTCAAAAGAACCCTGTAAGAACAGGGTCCTTTTATTTCAGTTATGGTGCCTGGAACCCATTTAGGTGCTCCAGCAAAGTTGTGTGCAAAAACATGGTCACCCCTCTTTAATATCCTAGTGTTGGGAGACCCTAATGGACCTTGGGAAATGCCATGGTTCGAATGGAGTCTGTCTAATGTGGTCCGGAGCTTCCTGCCCATTAATAAGTCGGCAGGGCTCTGATTGGTTATTGGGCAAGGGGTAGAATGCTGGAACAACAAATACCAAATTATCTTGTCCTGCAAAGTCCCTGAGCCCATTTTTCCCATGGCCTCCTTGGCCGAGTGGACAGCCCGTTCTGCTTGGCCATTACTCGCAGGGTGGTAGGGGGCTGTTTGAGCTTGGTGGATACCCAAAGCAGCGAGGAATGTTTGGAAAACAGACGCTGTCCACTGCGGGCCGTTGTCCGACACAACTTCATCAGGCAAGCCACGGCAAGCAAATAATCTCAGCAGGGCTCTAATGGAGGCCTCAGTAGTGGTGGTTGCCATGAGTATAAATTCAACCCATTTAGAAAAGGCGTCCACCACAATCATAATGTAAGTCCCTTGCATAGGCCCAGCAAAATCGAGGTGCAACCTCGACCAAGGAGCCGATGGTATGTCCCATTCCCTAGGTAATGCTGTGGGTGGGGCTAGTCTAGACGATTGACAAGCTTCACATTGTCCCACCCATTGTTTGATAGCCTCATCCAACCCCGGCCACCAAACGCAGCTGCGTCCAAGGGCCTTCATGTGGCATATGCCTGGATGGCCCTCATGCAACCTTTGCAATATCTGATAACGGAGAGCTGTACGAACCACGACTCGGCTGCCCCACAGCACACAGCCCTGTAGAGCAGACAACTCCGTTCTCCACCGGTTGTAGGGCACAAACTCCACTGATAGTGGCCCCACCGGCCACCCCTTAAGGACCCATTCTAAGACTTGGTAGAGTACCTTATTCTTGCATGTGTGTATTGCTATATCAGTGGCATTGAGTGGCAACTCCAAATCCTCTACCGAGGGTCATTGAAGTACTTGGAGGTTTATCTATGTCCTCAGGGTCACCTGAGTAGTGCTTAATGGTTCCTATAGTCTGCAATTTTTCTGGAAATCTGCTTATACTCCCACACCATTCAAAGGGTGCTCATCCCAACGTGCATAGCTAAAAGTCTGTAGAAATTCTNAATAAATAAATAAATTCCGTAAAGTATCTTTGGCTCTGCGTGCTTTGGTGTGGGACGACGGGGGTCAGAACAGGTGACTAAGGCTTGAGTGAGACAAGATTCATAGAGAAAGGTGCAATTGGTGTGCTTCATGAATCTGGATGAAGGTTTCCTATCATGCTATCACCTGCTGCTTTAACAGAACTGCAGTTATGTGACTGTGGGAAGCTGCAAATAGAACTTAGAATAACTTTATTGTCACTTTAAAATAAAATTTTGTTGCATACAACTCTCAAAGGGTCACCAATATGCACTACAGAAATATGACAAAATAATAAATAAATAAATAAAAAAGTATGTATATACCCACATATATTCTATGACACAAATAGCCACAAGAGAGAGAACCTGATAGGTGTTCAAATGACTGTAGTGGGTGGGTGACTGTCAGAACCAGTTTGTAAGTACTCCCAATGGGAATCCATTGTAATTTGGATTCAAACCAAATTGTAAATTGTATTACAAACCAATTGTAAATCGAGGCCTATCTATGCCAACTCTCCGCAGCCCATCACAACCAGGACATTATTGTTTGTTCCCTTTCCACCATCAGTTCTCCTGCACCCTTCCATCTGTCCCCAAGGATCAATTGCATTCTCCCCACCTCAAAACAAATGCGGAGCATGAGTTCAATTTTTAAACCTGAAGTTAACAACATGCACAATGTATTATAAAATGTCTCAGTTTCGTTTTCCTGAGTACAGACCAAAGGGAAAAAAGTGCACATCAGCATTCATCTGATACCGATAGTCCTTGATTTAGGACCACAACTGGGCCCAGAATTTTGGTTCCTAAGTGATGTAGGCATAAAGTGTGATGTCATGTGACTATATTGCTTAGTGACCTGTTCTGACTCCCCTTGTCCTACACCAAAGCACGCCGAGACAAAGATACTTCAAGGATTTATTGACACTGACAGGACTTTGGCAGCAAGCCAGCACAGACAAGATGTTGCCAGCAATCCAGTACATACTAACCTTGGCAGCAATCCAGCCTGCCAAGCTAGCCCCAAGAGTTCTCCAGCTCAAGTGAATTACATTGACTCCTGCAGAAGGGCGTGTGCACAATCATTCCTTTTATAGTCTTGAGAGGAGCCTAATTACCACCAACTGAGTGCAATTATCTCCTGTAACTGCGCCTATTAGCTCTTCAGTGCTGGGCATCCAGGAACAACTCCCTTGGCTCCTCCCCACAGCTCCAATGCATGACTTCAGGATCACACTCCCTTGTCTCCTCCCCACTGGTGGCCAACCAGCCTCTCTGCACCCAGCTCGGAGTCGGAACCCTGTCCAGTGTCCTCCACATCCTCCAAAGCCAACTCATAGGGCCCCTCGCTGTCAGAGCCTGGTGGCAGCTCCAACGGCTCCTGCTGGGCCACAACAGTGACAACAATCCCAGAACCGCATTGTCATCATTAAGCGAATTTTACCAGTCATTAGCTAAAGACCCATCTCAATTTGAGCCATTCTAGGCTTGTTCTTTTCAATCCTGAGTCAGTTAAGGTGAGAGACTGTCTCCAACTCTCTCTAACCTGCTTTTCTGGCTGCCCTGCAACCTGCCCTGACGGCCAGCAAGCACACCCAAAACTATGTGGCTCTGGGATGTTTGTCATGTCCCAGGAAGCCAAAACAATCCCAGCTCCAGTCCCTTTCGCCCTTGCCATCCTGTGCTCCACTATCTCAGTTCACCTTTGCCATCTTCTTGCTCCTGCTGCAGATGAGATCCGTCCCCAGCCCTGCTGCTTGGCTGAGCTAGGCCTGGCTTAATATGGCATAAAAAAAAGAGGGAGGGGGAGCCAAAAACATCCCTTGAAGCACAGTGCACCCAATCATCCCTTTGCAAAGTGCTCTCGGGTGTGGCTGGGGCTGGCTTTGGGCTCTGAAAAAGGAAAAAAAAACCTGCTTTTGGCTCCCCTCAGCCTTTCCTGCAGGTGCAAAGCCAGTCCCAGCCCAGGAAAACAGTGAGGCTGGGCATGCCCTGTCAGTATCAGGAGCAAGTAGATGGTAAAGGCCAGCTAGGATGGCAGAGTGCAGGAGGGCAGGGGATCAAAAGAGCATAGATGATGGGAGAGATAAATGGTTGGGGGAGTTGCAGCATCCCTCAGATATATGGTGTTGAAGTCTGTACCGATGAACAGACTAGATGAGGTAACAGGAACAGCGTTTCTGGCAATGGAACAGCAAGCAAGGTAACTATAAAAAACTTCAGCACCTTGCTCTGCTTGACAGCTATTTATACGGGAGCTGTCAAGCAGAGCAACCAATAGAAACAAAGTAAAAGCCCGCTTCCAGCCAGGCGCATCTTAAACCAATAGGCGCAAGCCTTCGGTTGCTGGGCTGTCTTGCAGCCGGTCGTAAGTCGAGGACTTAGGACCGGTCACAAGTTGAGGACGTTACATATGGATAGGTTGCTAAGCACCTGAATTTGATCACGTGGCCATGGGGGAACTGCAATGGCCATAACTTTGGGCATGGGTCATAAGTTCCTTCATCCAGCACCTCTATAACTTCAAGTGGGCAGTGAATGAATGAATGGTCCTACGTCAAGACTACCTACATCTCAGTATTTCAGAGAGGTATCGGAGCTATGTGATGTTTTCTATTTTCCTATTCATTTTGAAAAGCGATACAGAGAATTAAAATGTAAAATTCAGTATTTAGGTTTAGGTTTATTAGATTTATATGCCGCCCTTCTCCCAAGGACTCAGGGCGGCGTACAACATTAAAAGAAACACATAGTACAATAGTTAAAAAAAATAGAATATCCCAAACCCAATTAAAATTGACATTTTTAAAAAAAAAATTGAATTAAAATTAACAGCGATCAATAATTTATTTTGTTTTGTTCAGGCCAGGCTTTATTACAAGCCACTGACTTATAGGCAACAAAAGGAATGCTGAATAGGTTTCTTAAATTCTAAGGACTGTGAGATTTCTATGCATCTCAAAACTCTTAAAATCTGTAAGAATAATTTGGTCACAAAAGCAGTTTTCGCTAACACTGTTGTGACAGAAATAAAAGAAAGTACTGATTAGATTAATTACTGAATGTGACTGTCATATGCTTTGTAAAGAAACCCTCTACTTTGATGTTTTCCAGAAGACACTTTACACAGTCAATCACATTCTAAATTAAACACAAGCTATCCTGTGAAAATTTATTCAATTTTAACTAGAATTATGAAGACATTAAATGTATTGTGTGCAACCATAGATCCCTATACAAGATCTACATAAAGAAAGAGGCAAAACCACTCAACTAATTTTAGTTTAAGTGAGCTCCATCTGTTTTATCTAATAATATATTGTTATATCAAGTTATTTCTGTTGTTATATATATCTTGGTATTCTCAAACCAAGTTTGCTTTTTTTAATTGGATTTCTGGGCAACCAAATTGATTCAGACTCAGGGCAGCCTAAAGTAAAAGCTCAATAACTGATTGGCTTGGACAGCATCTGAATTATCCAGACAAAACTGATTTTGATGAGACATTAAGTGCCAAAGGCATCAGTTCAAATTTTAAC